ACGTGCATAAACTTTGTAAATAAATTCGCATTCGCACCTCGTAAATGGCTTTTCATGGCCGAGATATGGAATTCACGGCTCGGTGAAATAGAATCACGGCTTGTAGAAATGGAATCACGGCTGGCAAATCCATAAAACCACGGCTCTAAAAATTCAGTCGTGGCTCGCCAAGTAGATATATTCCATACTAGGCTACCTATATCAATCTGTCTGATTTTTGGTGGAGAGATCATGAGATGCAGAAAAAAATAGGGAACAAATCCTGACCTGTCAAATTTTTTTAACTCTATTACTTTTTGAGTTAGGCTACAGCCTTTCAAAGTTGAGTATTGTTTTTTTTTTTTTGGGACACCCTGCATATCTTGCCAAAGTTCTTTAAATATTTGTCCACTCTTTGCATGCTGGAATTACTCTTATATGGAGGCATTTCATTCTGGAATTTCTGGCATGGAATATAAATTATAATAGGCTAGTAGGTATAAATAATATAGGCCTACCGCTCTTCAAGTTGAGGACAGTAAAACAGACTCACCAGTATGTGCATATGAGACAGGAACTTTCCATAGACTGACATGTGAAAAAACAGATGCAATAAATTTTCCAAATGCAAGCGGAATAACCAATTTCTTATAATAGCTCCATGATATGTCTACTTGTCTCGTGACGCCCATCATTCTTAGAGCAGGACCGCTAAGACATGTTATTGATAACAATTGGACTAGCGTTAAACTCATTGGATAGGGAAAATCGTTCAATAGCATTTTACCCACAACGCCATTGCTAGAGCTAACACAGTACCAGGCGACACATAAACATAAAACTTTAATAATTTCAGCTCGTTCGGCTCTCGAAAACAATCTTTCAACCGCCATGCTGGCTCAAATGTCGAATCGACACTTGCGGAATTCCGGAATTTCCGGTTTGCTGGCTTAAAATCCGTGTCCAGTGAAATAATATTTGGCGTTCTGTCAAATAGATACCATTGCCACACGTCACCAATTTTAATGTAACGTTAAAACAAATCTTCAAATAAGTGTTAAGATCCATTCATGGAGTAGGTTTTTCTTAGATAGCATATAGCTTTTTATCAATAGATTTGAATCTAACTCNCTCATAATTCCTTAAATACTTAACGGATCTGTATGAATTTTGGAATGTGAGTATTAATTATCGATACGCTGCCGCAGGAATTATTACAGATTTTTAAATGAATTATTTTTTAATTAAACCTATAAACGTATTTTTTAAGCAACTGGGGCACTCATAATTTCTTCAATACTTAACGGATCTGCATGAATTTTGGCATGTGAGTATTAATTATCGATACGCTGCCGCAGGAATTATTACAGATTTTTACATAAATTATTTTGTAATTAAAACCAATAAACGTATTTTTTAAGCAACTGGGACACTCATAATTCCTTAAATACTTAACGGATCTGTATGAATTTTGGAATGTGAGTATTAATTATCGATACGCTGCCGTAGGAATTATTACAGATTTTTGCATGAATTATTTCCTAACCTAACTTAACCTAACCTAACATAACCTAACCTAACCTAACCTAGCCTATTATCAAAACTTCGTAACTTTTTGTACTTCAGACAAAAAAGTTACGTGTTACGTAAGTAAACCCTAATTTTGGCATTATCAAAACATTCGTACGTAAGACTTGGCTAAAAGCGTATTATCAGAACCATCTGGCCAACTGGCCAATTAGAGCCTTTGGATTTGTTTACATTCTGTGAACTTCGATGGCGGGAATCGATGTCTTCGATGGTATTGACTATCGAATGCTGTCTGTCGGTATTGAGTCGGTATTGCTCCTTGTTGGCCCAGAAAAAGCCGTTCTAAAATAGCTGATTACCAAATGACAATTTACAAGAAGGCGACGTTTCGAATATATCAATATTCGTTATCAAGTAATTGAAGAGTTATCACAACGCCTAAAATTGAAATTAGGACATGACATAAGTTCATACAGAAAGTATCGTAGGTTTAAAATCGAAAATCAAATTAATCCGAGAATAATTTCAACGTCCTGACGAATCCTGCGCTTTGCCTCCGCTGAGAGCCTCCGCTATCGACAGTCTCGTTGTGTCGGGGCACCGCATGACGATGCTGGTGCAGGCCTCCAACGTGGCACGGGTGATGGTCTCGTTGTGGGCCTCCCGCATATGGTTCTTTGGTCCTCCAGCTTGCAGATGGCATGGGAGTCTGCGGCTCAATGTCGTGCTTGTCAAACCGATGTAATTTACATTTTGGAGAAGTCTACAACCTTCTTTCAAGAAGGAAAATTTGTAAATTACTTTGGTTTCTTGCAGCGGTCCGGACTTTTTACATGGATTGTTATTCATGATTAAATTCTTGATCTTTTTGTTCCTGCAGTAAATCAAAAGTTGTGTTCGGTCAGTTACTGTTGTGCAGCTGATGTTATTGTGCACAATTGAATTGAGGACTCTGGACTCGCTCGTCAGTCCTATGACCGCTGTTCATTTGATTTTGATAGTAAATTCTGGTGACGCAACCTCTTGATGTGGATTCATCTCTTCGATTTTGACGTGCTCTGACAAAGAAATTTCAAATATCAGAGCACGTCGGAACCGAACAGATGAATACTACGAGACTGTTGATAGCGGAGGCTCTCATTATCAAAGACGAGTCTCCTGCTATCAATTTGCAAACCGCCGGATTCATCAGGACGTTGAAATTATTCTCGGATTAATTTGATTTACGATTTTAAACCGTATCTACGATACTTTTTTTATGTCATGTCCAAATTTTGATTTTACGCGTTGTAATAACTCTTCACTTGCTTGATAACGAATATTGATATATTTGAAACGTCGCTTTCATCTAAAATTTTATTTTGTAATCTGCTTTTTGATCTCCAAGCACCTGCAAGAAATTTTGTTGGGCATATCGAAAAACACAATAGAAAATTGTTAATAAAAAGTGCGCTCTGGTCTTCAATCAAACCTGTATAAATGAAGAACTTCTGCCTAACTACACTAATATCCGTTTCATCAATTATGCACACTTCTGGGAACGATCTCTTCCAATGTTATTTTATACTGTCAAGTAATTCTGTGATGAGCTTTGATGTTTCCATGTGTTTTTGCTCCAGATCGCTGTTGAAGAGCACCAGTAACACCTTCATACTGCGTGCTCATTCCATATAAACTCACGTCAGCTAACAGTTGGGTTGGGGCCATAATCATTCTTTTAGTCTACTAAATATAATTTAGTGACTAGTGGCGAGGTAAGTGCAGTTCCTGCTGAGGTGAAACTTTTCTGTCATTGACGATAGTTGTTATTATGATGTATGACACTGTGGCATAGTCCCATTAAGATATATACTACTTCATATAAAGAATAATATAGAATCCAACAATTTTAACTGTTCGATCATCTTGAGGCTGCCAATGTGTTCATAAGGTAGTACTATAAATACGCAGTGATGGGAGAAAGCGGTTTGGTTTACATTGTATTTGTACATTTTACATTCTGCATTTTTTACACTCTCTAATAAATTCTGTCAAGAAAACAAATTGAAAATGAATAACCTTGCATGACTTTTGTTTCAGTGTTAAATATTCGCTGGAAATTTACTTTTAAATGCGGTTGTTTACAAGGGTACCTAGGCCATTATGACAATTTAACCTTGAGTGACGTCACTGGGCCGCAGGTTTTTCCGATCCGCACCTGTAACGACAGGTGCGGGATCCACGACACGAGGATTTCCGTCTTTCAGTTAAGCTTTCTTGTTACGTCACTGAGATCAAGAAACGTAAACAATCCCGTCATCCCCAGGACGGATTGGTTGACTGGTTTGATCGCATTTCGGTGATTGGTTAATGCCCGTGACGTCACTGAGATCAGTGACGTCATAGGCGAACCACAAACTACATCCGCAAAAATGAGCTTCTCATGGGTCAACCTTATACTAGTTCAACCATGGGTGCGGTCTGATCATTTTTAGTAACAACATTCCGATGCCTCGTCCCCTCGTCGATTTTGTACGACTTCATATGTAACTAAGTTATAAGTTCTAAAATTTATGACAAACTTACAGACATTTATTTACATTGAAAATAGTGTACTTCTACCAAGACATTTTGAATTCATTTTTCCTCATATACGATTAAAGGAAAAAGGCACCAAAACATTTAAGGTGACTCGACAAAAATGTTCATCGATGAAACGTATAAATTTAGTGTCTCCCAATTATTGTTCGTGTTGAGAAATTTATTCATCTAATTTAAATGTCCAATTATTATTCTAAGAAAACCATTCAGTTTCAAAAAATTATCTGAAGTTCACACTTTCAGCCGGTCAGACAATTCCCTTCGCTTTATGAACAAAACTTAAATCTATTTGGTAAAGTCTAAAAGCCAGGGAATCGCCACCTTCTGTTATCAATACTTGACACAGCAGTTGAAGCTCAAAAGTTTTGGGCTCCTTGTGATCTCTTTCATCTTCTATACCCTTAACTTCACCTCAACTTAGTCTGGCCGCGCGTTCACGTGAGCTTCAAATTTCACCTCGAAATGGCTCGGGTGAAGATTCTTTTTAGCGCATTTTCTCATATATGATAAAAAGCACTATTATGCTCGCTCGTCATGTCCGTCTGTCTGTCCGTCCGTCTGTCCGTAACTTCACGCTTTCGTCTATGAGAAAATGCGCTCTCTAGCTGTCGCTCACTGCAGTGGGCACTGAGTTATATTTTTTTTTACTTTCCAAAAGATATGACCATCGAGGTGTCTCAGGAGAGATTTTTAATAGTTTAACATTTAAAATTCGAACACTATATTGAATTTTTTTTTCGTAAGCCTCTTTGAATGCAGCGGTTCTGTAGTGACTCGAATTCATAACTCGCACCATCATTTCTTGTGAACGTCTTAATTATTTCTATTAAATTCCCTAGCTCGTTGAACACAATTTTTTATAGCATCATTTGACTTATTAGCTAAAATTCAACTATACACCTCAATGTTCACCATTATGCAATTTTTAAAATAGTTTAACAAAAATATTATCAATTTTCAAGCATGAACAAATGAGGTGAACAACAAACAAGTACGACATGACTCGTTAAATTCCAGAATAATATAAAATAATGCTAACGACAAAAATACTTTCTCGTTCTAATAGTGCTATTCAAAACTTGTGAAATCTGTTTATAGAGCGCCAGCATTCAACATTAGCCAGTCATGCATTAGCTTCATTTTTATGGTCAGAATAGACGTGTGAACAATTGCTATGGGTAAGCTGCCAAGTTCTTCTCTAGAATTTAATTATTATAATAAGTATAATATAATAACAATTAGAATTTAATTAGTATAAGTATTTAGAGTTGTAACTGTCAAAACTGAATTCCCGCTTGCTCTCGATATTCTTCCGATATTGTCTTATGCTATTTTTGTCATTTTCATTGCTATGCAATGTAAATTGATACCCACCTGTACGAGGTTATATTAGTAATACTTATTATATTTTGGTTTCATAAGAACAAGATAACGCAATAAAATTATTATTTTTCTTGTGCCGCTTGTTGCTGTTGCAATGAATTATTTTGGGTTTTTGACCGTAAAATCTTACTGACGGTTGTATTATCTTTATTAGTATAAATATATTTATCATCAGTAAACAGCCTACCCGATTACATCGTTGGCGCTCCAAGTATGAACGCGTTCAAGAACAGACGAGACAAAGCGATGGAGAAATATATGTTCAGACCCGAAATGCTTAGCACCTTATTGAATCCGATGGAAGTCTAGTAGCTATTTCAAACTATCGTCAGTTTAGAAAAGATCCGATCGAAGGACCTATTTTTAGATCGCATGTGGACAAGTTACGAAAAATACAAGAATCGGCGACAGGCCATATCAGGCCT